TGTTACAATACAATGAGACACCCAAACAGAAACAAAGGCAAAGGCTTCTCCTTTCATTTCCGGTTTTGGAGGTGGTGTTCATCTCCGGCTCTGGGGGAGGTGCTGTTCTCCATTTCCAAGACGAGGAACCTGCATTGTTGCCTCCTGGTCGTTTGACCAGCATGACTGCTTGGAGCTACCAATGCCTTTCCTTCCAAAGCAGTACCTATTTATCTACCCATATTTGCATTTTTGAACTGCTAGGTTAGCAGGAGCTAGGGCTAACAGTGGGAGCTCACCCCATTCCACAGATTCGAATTGCCAACCTTCGGGTCAGCAGTTCAGCAGCACAAGGGTTTAGTCAATTGCACCAGTGCTTTGAACTGGATTATGAGTCTATACTGCCATATAAAATCTGGATTATCTGCTTTGAACAGGACTATATGGCAGTGTAGACATATATAATACAGTTCAAAGCAGATAATCTGGATTATGTGGCAGTGTAGATCTAGCCTCAACAGGTGACCTTGGGTACATCACACACTCTCAGCCTCAGAGGTTGAACCACTCTGAACAAATTTTGCCAAAACATCCCCTGTGATACAGGGGTTGCCATAACTTGGAAAAGACTAGGGCCCCGTATACACCGCCTTAAAAATCCAGATTATCTGCTTTGAACTGGATTATATGGCAGTGTAGATTCATATAATATAATTTAAAACATATAATCTGGATTATCTGCGTTGATAATCTGGATTCTATGGAAGTGTAGAAGGGGCCTAGAAGGTACATAGCAATAACATGTATTTGTTTAAAGGATATGAACCTTAAACCTAGGAAAGGATGAATTGTCAATAAAGAACTACTACATTATTTTACTACACTGTAATATTTTACACTAATCTTGACGTTAAAGGAATTTCATCCCAAATGTAAGCATATGAATTATTACTGCAAGTGCGTGGATTTTAACATCTCAGTTGAGTGTCTTCCTTTTGCCCAGAAGATGGCAGCACGTTTGGTATTTCCAGAAAGCAAACAGTTGCCATGGTAAATATAGCGTAATATTACAGCTGTTCCCTCCAGCTAACACATTTTAAAATAAATCAGGAACAGAAACTGCTGCATGTGTAATACACGTTTAAATCAACTCTTCCTGAAAACCCTTAAATTGTTTTAACACCAAGTCGCTGTTTTTTGACATTTTTTCTTCCTATGAAGAAAAAAAATCTCCATTTTAATGGAAACCAATTTAATGTACCATCCTGCGTGCTCTGGCCAATAGGCCACAGAAATGTATTGCTAAAGTCGGTTGTCTTTTGAAAGCATCCACTTTTGGCAGGCATCCTCCACTGCTTTCTTCTCTCTCGAGTCCAAATGTAACAGTAACAAAATGAAAGCCATATTTTATTTTATTTTATTTTATTCCCAATTGAGATGTTAATCCAGGGAGGTTTGCCTTCCCACTACTCTTTAGCACCAGAAAGTCGACCAAGAAAATGAGACTTCCAGAAAGTGAGAGCAAAAGAAAAATGCAGCAGGCGGAAGAGAAGACGCAGAAAGAAGGGAAAGTCTAGGGAGGGGATGCTGGCACATTGAAGCCCAGCTTGAGCCTTTTTTGTGTGTGTGAGGCCAGCAATGCCTGTGGATCTCATCTAATCCCACCGACAGCCAACTGAAGAATCCTATAGCTACGTGCCCTTTGGCACATCTGCCTACCCACACTATTTCTCCTGGCCATCTGTCCTACATTGGCCAGGGCTACCTCCCTTCACATCTGGGCCTCCTTCAACTCCACTAGTTTTCTTTTCGGGTGGAGATACTCTGAGTGAATTCATACAGGTTGAGTGTCTTGCATCTGAGATATTTGGGACCAGACATGTCTGAGATATTTGGAATTTTTCAATTTGCGTTCCAAGAGCATGCACATGCAGTCAGCCCTCCATGGATGCTGCATCCAAGGACTCAGCTATCCAAGGTTTGAAAATAGTTCCTCCAAAAGCAAACTTTGAGTTTGCCATTTAATATATGCAATTGCATATAATGACACTATGTAACACGTTTTGAAAAATATTCTGTTCCTGTTTGAAAGTGTTATTTCCTGTTGGATTGTGCAGCACTTACTTTGAAAGTAGTTGCTCTACTCCAGAAACTTCGTTTTTGTGGCTGCCAAAAACTAGGTTGAATTGGTTAAGTCTCGATGAGATATTCATTGAAAAACTATAGCAAAAAAGTCTGCAGGATGTTCTGCAAAAAACAAAGGTTTTTTTTTCAGTTTAAAAAACCTTTTCCATGATTTTTTGATACAACCAATTAGGAAATGACATTGATAACCCAGAAACAAAAATTGTATTACATAACGTTGTTATAATTACTAGGAAACAACCTGAATGCAAACAACAACAGCAACAACAGAAAGCTGGCATAAAAAAAACCCAAACCCTGTAATAACTCCAATTCTAATCCTGCTGTTCCTGAAAGTCTAGCACTGCGTGTATATCTATGTCTTCCATCAACCAAATATGACTCAAAAATATTTTCCCCAAACCAAGCAAGTAAACTCCAGAAAACAAACCTTCATTTTGCCATTTTATCTAAAAGACATTTTACTATGCTGTTTTATATAAAGGGACTCAAGTATCCATGGATACTAAGTACATACTGTATCTCCTCGATTCGAAGACACACTCTCCCCACCTCCCCGCCATAAATATTTCTAAAAACTGGGTACACTTTAGAATCCTATGTGTTTTACGTGCATGCACATATATATTCTATACAGGTTTTTAATATATAAATACAGCTTTGTTTCTCCTGTTGGTAGTAATGTTGCTTAGGCCCCTTCTACAGTGCCATATAACTTAGAATACCAAGGCAAAAAACCCCACAATATTTGCTTTGAACTGGGTTATCTGAGTTCACACTGTCATGTATTCCAGTTCAAAGCAAAAAAAAAATGTGGGATTTTATTCAGCTCTGTGGAAGGGGCCTGAGGCCACTTCTACACTGCCATATAATCCAGATTATCTGCTTTGAACTGGATTACATTATTATTATTATTATTATTATTATTATTATTATTATTATTATTTGAAACATTTATATTCCGCCCTTCTCATCTCAAAGGGGACTCACAACATATATACGGCAAGTATTCCATGCCGGAACATAAAATAAGTATAAATATACACAACCATTAAAATTAGTTATATCTACTTTAACATTGGTTGTTTAAAACCATCTCAAAACATCCTGCCGGCTCATATAGACTCATATAGTCCAGTTCAAAGCAGATGTGACTGTACAAGGCATTTTTAAACTTGTGTAGAAGGGGCAAGATTCTGAATGAAGTCTGTAAATGAACATGTAGCAAATGTGAAGTTTCTTTTTATATATATAATTTATGCTGTATTTTATACTGTCTTGTTATATATAACAATAAAAGCTTATTGGATTGGAGTGTAGAAGGGTCCTTAGAAGGGTCCTTAGAATTGAAGTATGGCATTTTACTAGAGTAGGACATGCAGGCACAATTGGGGGTTATAAAAACTTTTTTGAAATGTAAGCTGGCTTTATAGGAACGTGGCGCTATAAAACCCCAAAACGAATAGATGTACTCCACCACACAGCTTTTCCCTCACCCCTTGCTTTGATGTTTCTATGGCCACATCTACAATGCCACATAATGCCTTGTATGGTCAGAGCTGGCTCATATAATGCCATTTAATGGCACTGAGCTGCATTATATGAACCTACGGCCCCGTTCCACACAGCTGCATAAAATCCACACTGAACTGGATTATATGGCAGTTTGGACTCAGATAACCCCGTTCAACACCAATATTATCTGCCTTGATATTCTGGGCCCCCTTCCACACAGCTGAATAAAATTCCACATTATCTTCTTTGAAATGGAATATATGGCTGTGTGGAATCAGATAACCCACTTCAAAGCAGATATTGTGGGATTTCTGCCTTGATATCCTGGGTTATATGGTGGCAAGGAAAGGCCCTGAGTCCACACTGGCATTATTCCGGGTAAAAGCAGAAAATGTGGGATTTTATTCAGCTGTGCAGAAGGGCCCCAAGTTCAAAGCAGATATTCTGGGTTGTGGCTGTGTGGAAGGGCCCTGAGTGTACACTGCCATTTAATCCAGTTCAAAGCAGATATTGTGGGATTGTCTGCCTTGATACTCTGGGTTGTATGGCTGTGTGGAAGGGCCCCGAGTCTACACTGCCATTTAATCCAGTCCAAAGCAGATATTGTGGATTTCTGCCTTGATATTCTGGGTTGTATGGCTGTGTGGAAGGGCCCTGAGTCTACACTGCCATTTAACCCAGTTCAGAGCAGATATTGTGGATTTCTGCCTTGATATTTTGGGTTGTATGGCTGTGTGGAAGGGCCCCAAGTCTACATTGCCATTTAACCCAGTTCAGAGCAGATATTGTGGATAGTCTGCCTTGATATTTTGGGTTGTATGGCTGTGTGGAAAGGCCCTGAGTCTACACTGCAATTTAACCCAGTTCAAAGCAGATATCGTGGATTGTCTGCCTTGATATTTTGGGTTATGTGACTGTGTGGGAGGGCCCTGAGTCTAGACTGCCATTTAACCCAGTTCAGAGCAGATGTTGTGAATTGTCTGCCTTAATATTCTGGGTTATGTGGCTGTGTGGAAGGGCCCTGTGTCTACACTGCCATTTAATCCAGTTCAATGGGGATTTTAGACAGTTGTGTGGAAGGGGCCTGTGTGTGTGGCACATTTTTATAGGAAGGCAGGGCCCAAAACCACAAGAATACTGGATGCAAACTTTTCTTCCTTCCCCTCAGCCCTGACTGTGAGGCGCCCCTTCTTTCCCCTCCCTCAGCCTGGCTGGGCCCATCTCCAAGTGCGCCACATCTTTCTCTCCCTGACGGGCGCGCGTGGAGACCAATCCGCTCCCAGACCGCCTGACGCTTTGCCCAATGGCGGGGCTTGGGGGCGGGGCCGGCGGGGCGCGCGAGCGACGCGCGGGCAGCCGCGGCCACTTCCCTCCGAGGCGGCGGCGGGAGAGGATCTCGGCGCGATGATGCGTCTCCGGAGCCCGGCGCTGCTGAGGGACCTGCTGCGGCTGAGCCAGGGCGGCCCGCCGGGGGTGGTGGTGACGGGCGGGGGCTGCTGCCGGAGGGCTCCGGAGCTGCGGTGGCTCCGCCCGGCGCCTTCCCTGCGCCTCGTGCCTCGCTCCATGTGCACCCGCTCGGAGGGGATCCTGGAGGAGCCCGGCAAAGGCCCGCCGCCTGCCTCCGCCTCCTCCTCCTCTTCGGAAACGCCCAGCAACAACGGCGGCCACAACGCGGGCCCAGGCCAGGAAGCCGGTGGATTGGGGGACGAGTGAGTATCCAGGAGGGAGAGAAGGAAGGGAGGAAGGAAGGAGGGGGATTTGGAGGGGAAGGATGCTCTCTCTCTCTGTGTCTGTCTTCCTTCCCTCCCTTGGCATGTGACAGGACGCCGCCGCCTTGTGCCTCTTGGACGGCAGCAGTGAAGTTTCCGCCTCCTCTCTCTCTCTGACCAGCCATGTGGCCTTTTTTTGAGACTGTAGAATTGGCCCACTCCTCCTCCTAACTGCCAATGCTACGCGGCCCTGGGAGTTGTAGGCACCGCCAGCACTCTTCAGCAAGGAAAGGTGGAACTGCAACTCCCAGGATGCCAAAGCGTTGAGTCACAGGCAGTCCAAGTGGGGCCAGGCAGCATCAGGCTTTTCCACACAGCCACACAACCCAGAATATCAAGGCTGATCATCCCACAATATCTGCTTTGAACTGGGTTATATGGCGGTACTGATTCTGACCCCTTCCTCACAACCCAGAATATCAAGAAGACACCATAATATTTGGTTTGAATTGGGTTATATGGCGGTGCTGACTCTGAGCCCTTCCACACAACACAGAATTTCAAGAAAACTCCATAATATCTGCTTTGAACTGGGTTATATGGAGGTGCTGACTCTGAGCCCTTCCACACAACCCAGAATATCAAGACTGATCATCCCACAATATCTGCTTTGAACTGGGTTATATGGCAGTGCTGACTCTGAGCTCTTCCACACAACCTAGAATATCAAGAAAACCCATAATATCTGCTTTGAACTGGGTTATATGGCGATGCTGACTCTGAGCTCTTCCACACAACCCAGAATATCAAGAAAACCCCATAATATCTGCTTTGAACTGGGTTATATGGCGGTGCTGACTGAGCTCTTCCACACAACCCAGAATATCAAGAAAACCCCATAATATCTGCTTTGAACTGGGTTATATGGCGGTGCTGACTCTGAGCCCTTTCAAACAACCCAGAATATCAAGGCTGATCATCCTACAGTATCTGCTTTGAATTTGGTTATATGGCAGTGCTGACTCTGAGCCCCTCCACACAACCCAGAATATCAAGACAACCCTATAATATCTGCTTTGTACTGGGTTATATGGCAGTGCTGACTCTGAACCCTTCCACACTTACACACAACCCAGAATATCAAGAAAACCCCACAATATCTGCTTTGAACTGGGTTATATGGCAGTGCTGACTCTGAGCCCTTCCACACAACCCAGAATATCAAGAAAACCCCACAATATCTGCTTTGAACTGTTTTATATGGCAGTGCTGACTCTGAGACCTTCCAAACAACCCAGAATATCAAGGCTGATCATCCTACAGTATCTGCTTTGAATTGGGTTATATGGCAGTGTTGACTCTGAGCCCTTCCACACAGCCACACAACCCAGAATATCAAGACAGGTCATCCACAATATCTGCTTTGAACTGGGGCCCCTTCCACACAGTTAAGTAAAATCCCACATTATATGCTTTGAACTGGGTTATATGGTAGTGTAATAATAATGATGATGATGATAAGGCCACCTTACTGGGATCTGCCCACATTATTCGCCGATACATCACACAGTGCTAGACACTTGGGAAGTGTCCTACGTGTGATCCAATTCAACAGCCAGCAGAGTGTCTGCTGTGGACTCATCTTGTTGGGTTTTTAATAATTATAATATAATATAATAATAATATAATATTTTTGTGTCTTGAGCAACTGCAAGTTGCTTCTGGTGTGAGAGAATTGGCCACTTGCAAGGACGTTGCCCAGGGGACGCCCTGACGTTTTATCATCCTATGGGAGGCTTCTCTCATGTCCCCGCATGGGAAGCTGGGGCTGACAGACGGGAGCTCAGCCTGCTCTCCGGATTTGAATAATTGACTCTTCGGTCAGCAGTCCTGCCAGCACAAGGGTTTAACCCATAATAATAATTTATTTATAACCTGTCCTATCTCCCCAAGGGGACTCACAGTGGTTTCTACACAAAAAAGTGGCAGGCATTCAATGCCATTGATAAAAACATAAACCAAACCAATAGCACAACAACATCAATATAACTTACAATAAATAAATTAAAAAAATACAGAGTAATTAATAAAAGCATAAACAATTAATAAAAGCATAGTGTTGACTTTGTGCCTTTCCACACATAGTACTCAGAATATCAAGGCAGAAAAGCCCGCCATAGCTGCTTTGAACTGGACTGTATGGCAGTATTATAATATATTAATAATAATACTTTATTTATAACCTGCCCTATCTCCCCAAGGAGATTCAGGGAGGTTTTCACACAAAAAAGTGACAAACTTTTAATGCCATTAATGAAAACACACAAACTACTGTTTGTGCTGAAGACTCCCATGGTCCAGTTGTCCAAAGGGATGCTAGTTGTAAAAGCAGTGTATATATTATTTATTAGATTACAAGCAGTCCCTGAATTACAAACGACTTACAGCTAAGAATGTGGGTGAGACAACAGGAAGTGAGAGAAATCTTCCCCTCAGGAGGAAAACTCACTTCTGTAAGAGTTACTCTCATGGGGAAAAGATGTCTCCACCGAAGCTTTCTCACCAATCCTTGTTTCCACAACAAGCCATTTTTTTTCAAAATCCAAGGACAGAAAGTGAGGTGAAATCTTCTGAATGGGCACAGACAGCAAAACAAACTCCACACACATGTTCCCTATACTATCCAAAGCTTAATATGTTTGGCTGGAGTTACACTTAAAATGTACCTGTTCCAATTCAACTTAAGAACAAACCTATTGAACTAATCTTGTTCATAACTTGGAGACTGCCTGTACTGGTGAAAAGAAACTCAGTAGCATTACTGATACTTAACAATTAGCTGCCATTAACTGTCAAGTATCACCACCACATGTCATTCTCGCCTGACTTGGGGTGCACGTTTTGCTCTAGAATGAATGCAGCTTGACACTACTTTAACTGCCATGGCTCAATGCTAGGGAATCATGGGAGTTGTAGTTTGGTGAGGCACCAGCACACTGGTGGAGAAGAAGGCTGAAGACCTTGTACAACTGCATCATAATTATACAGTGTAGATGCACCTCAAGTGTCACTTTCAGACGTTACCAATGAATGATAGCTGGAAGAAGCCTCAGAGCACATAGTCTTGGATAGGACTGAACTATTGGCTTTATGGTATTTTCCATGTGCAACACAAAATTGAAATGAGTCTTGAAAGTGAACAGTAAGGCAAAAAGACAATAAACAATAACTTTTGCTAAAGGATCTACCAAATCCCAGGCACTGTTTTCTGTCTAATCTGTACAACAATGGAAACATAGAATAAGGCCATCCAGTCCCTTGTTCAATGCAGGAATAATGCTGGGCGCTTCTTGATGTGACCAAATCATTAAAAAGAGGAGCTTTGATCTCTTAAGCAGTGGACATCCAGGGCCATAGAGTGAAATTAGTTGCATTTGATGTTTCTGTTTCAAGTCCTCGCTGGGCCATAGATGCTCACTATGTCCCCTTGGGCAGGTCACAGGCTCAGCCTCAAAGGAAGGCAAAGACAAATTTCCTCTGACCAAGGATGTATCTACACAGGGCAGATTATATGGATTCAGTTCTACATGATGGATTTGCAGCAGAAACATTGTACCTAGTCATTCATGTGGCTTAAGGGGAAACAGAATAATGATGGACTTTTGAACAACTGGATCAACTGAATCCGACTCTTATCTATTATCCAGACCTCCATGAACCCATCACTGCATTGCTGGGCACAAATAGCTCTGTACCAGAGATTTGCTGGCAACATTGCTTCAGGTGAGGTCATGACAACAGGGCGCTCAGACATCTGACCAGAAAATGAGATGTTGCCAGCAAGCCTCTGGCAGGGAGCTGCGTGTGGCCAATGGTAATGTGTCCTTGGCCTAAGCTGCCATGTGGATGTTCATACAGTTTCAGAGATGCTCCCTTACTGCACTGGGGCAGCTCCAAAGGAGTGTACAGATGAACTGGCAAGTGTAGATGAGCCCCAAATCTTGCCAAGAAAACCCTTTGATAGGGTCACCGCAAATTGGAAATTATCTGAAAGCATACAACACCTCTATACCTTTTATTTTGAAAATTAAACAGTGCTGATAGTCACGGAAGTCATGCCAACAAATGTATTCATCACTCATATCAAAATATTCAGGTGCGGTATTTCTTTCCTGAATAGCAACCCTGGATATTGCTTTTTATGTATAATCAGAAGATGGCTGATAGCTGTCTATTTTTATATGTGTATACCATTTTTCTCCCAAGTTGGCTATTAAAGAGAATCAATTTTAAAAACTTTAACAGCATTGTAAAAACAATTAAAAACCACCTCATCAAACATAAAATTATTTAAAACATATGTAAAGGGTTTTTTTTTTAAAATAGTAAAACACACATCCCCATAAGAGGCTTCCCTACCTGCTTAAACAAAAAAAGTCATTTTGGCAAAAGGAAAGCAAGGAGGGGGCCAACCTAGCCTCCCATAAAAGAGTGTTTCACAAAGTGGGAGCAGCCACTGGGAAGGTTTTCTCTTATGTCCTCTAATGCGAATGTTTCACTGTGTTCCCCTTGACCTATTTTATAGTAAACACATTCATGATTACTGACTAGTTAAAGAAGAGTATTTAACCATTTTTGTCATGTTTATGGAATAAGGAATTAGCTGTTCTCTTGGGTTAGTGAATATGTACAGAACTGATTTAAAAACTGTGTGTATTCTCATTTTGGTCAGTACTGTTGACATTTACAATTTTATTAATATGGTCTCTAGGAATCTTTAGTTCTCTAGTGCAACTCTGGTTAGTTTCTGCCAGAAGTTGACCATAGAGTTAAACGGGAGGACCTAGTTTTCCCAGGTTAAAAAGTGGCAGTCTTTTAATCTGTGGGTTTTCCACTTTCGCAGGGGTCCTGTGCCCCAGTCCAAGCAAATAGGGAAGGCTGGCTGAATCTTATTGTCTGCCCTTGGAGGTTTATTAGTGTGTAGGAGTAAAGAAATATGC